TCACCATCGTTTCTTGTGTGCTTGGTTGCTAGTGATCCTTGCGCATTACCAAATATTGCGTTTATGAGTGTTGCATGTGAGTGCGAATAGATCCTGCCAGTAGCCAGCTTTCCCCTAGTTAGTGGCTGTGTTGGGTGCTCCCGATGCAAACTGCGTCATTGTGTCAATGGCTCATTCCATGGTTAAATAGTTGATTAAAAGATTTGCTTTTTGTATTCAAGCATGTTCATAAGTTCTCGTCTCATTCATAAACTATTCTGTACTTTTTGCTTCTTTTGTTTGTCAGGAAATTACGAGCCACCTCCATTTCCACCAGGTGGGCCCCCAGGACCGCCAGGACCACCATTTGAGCCACCGTTTGAGCCTCCGTTTGAACAACCGCCATTTGATGGACCTTTTGATGGTCCCTTCGACGGCCCCTTCGATGGTCCTTTTGATGGACCACCACCCGGACCGCCTGGGCCACCAGGGCCACCTGGTATGTTTCCTCCCCCTATGGCACCAGGTCCTGGACCTGGTCCGGGCCCAATGCCCCCAGGCCCCCCGGGCATGTTTCCACCCATGCCACCTCCAATGCAGATGCCTGGTATGGACCAGCCGATGCCCTCGCAGCAAATGCCGCCTGGACACGGAGAGGATGACTCTGATGCGGAAAATGAAGAATCTTGGGTGAGTTCATTAAAGTGCACTGCAATGCCTTTCTCCATCCTGTTGTTGCGACCAGACTATCTGTAGTTAAACATTGTTGGTCTGTTTGCTGAAGCGAAGTTATTTCATTAGGGGTGGGTTGGTGAACTCCCGTTTAGAAAGTTTTTTTAAAGCTGCACTGTATTTTACTTGGCATTACATGGTCGGAGTCAGTGGGGCGGTGTTTGCATTGCCTTTCTCTACTGGCCAGAAGCACATACTGTTGGTGTCCCACCTAGGGTACCTAACCTGATGCTTTTTACTCTTGCTGTCTGGTGTGCTGTGCAGAACGAGAAAGAAGCCTTGTCTGCGGCAGAAGCTGCAAAACCAAAGACAGCTTGGGAGATTGGAATGCAGAATGCCAAGGAGGCAAGTACCAGTGCAGCACCAGCGCAGCACCAACTCTTCGTTTGCTCTAGAATCCATTGTGTTGGTTGCATCCAGTTCATCAGTTTGAGAGCATCATTGAGCGGAAGGCCTGAAGAAAAAATCGACTGTCACCACCGGGATTTGAATCAGGGGTATTCGTTGTTGTTCCCATTCACGTCATTGTGTATGAATTTGCATTTGCTTTATATATGTGTGTTGGACTCTCTTTGCACTTACCTGCTGCAATGGGAACCAGCCATACAAAACGTCTTGGTGTTTGTGCTGCCGCTGTCGTAATGCTTGCTATAGGTAATACGACGTGCGAATGAGCGCAAGGAGCATGCCAGTGAGCTGGCAGCAAGCCAGGAAAAGAAGCGCCTGCAGCAAGAAGAGTTGCGGCAGCTGAGACAGCAGCAGAGGCAACACTCTCGCCGCACCGGTAGCACGACGAGAGACAACGACAGCACTGGTGTGCAAGATCGCGTGCATTCACCTGCGCCGGGTGCAGGCAGGAGGTGAGTAAAGTGAACACTGTCAACTTCTCAGTGTGTGCAGTCATCAGGGCTAGACCGATCTTCCTTTGGGTTTGGGAAATGTTGGAAATATATTTGTTGAACTCGGGTGTACAGTTGTTTCGCTCAGCTCTTGCAGTGAACAAAGCAGAGTTGAATTCTGGTTATACAGTTTGTTCCGTACGGTATGTATTTCGAGTATGAGTAAATGATAATTGAACAATCATAATCACTGTTATAATGCTCTTCGTATTATGTCAACCTGGGCTCTCCACTTCTCTGTCCCCGGGGAAAATTGCGATTCCGCGGCCGCGGTTTTTTCCGCGTTTTTTGCGATTTTTTAAAAGACCGCGTTTTCCGCGATTTTCCCGCTTTTTTTGAACTTTTTGTTGCACTACACGTACACACAGTGCACTGTTCGGTCAGCAACGTCTCATCGTGGCGGCTTTTTACTCAAATATGACGAGTGCTTACACCAGAGACTTGTAACTGATTGATTTCACTACATACTCACTGAAAATTGCCGCACATCAATATTATTCACCGCATATTTACCGCAAATTCACCGCAAATTATGCCATATTATGCCGCATTTTCCCCCGCGATTTTTTGCGATTTTTTTCCGCAATTTTCCCCGGGGACAGACTTCTTTTGGACACAACTACGTACTACAAGTGGTTGCTTGGATTGTCTCCATCATGGTTTGTGTGTGATTGCTGTTAAGCTGTGTTCACAACTGGCGCGTGTACGCGTGAAACCACGCGTTTGTGCGTATTTTTGCTGGCTTTTGGTGCGCCATGCGTACGGAAACGCGCCGAAATGGAAATTCCAACATATTGGAATTTTCAGCGCGTATCAGGCGCGTACATGCCAGTCACTTTGACTGGCGGGGTCAAAAAATTAGTACTCGAAGGTGTCGAACGCGCTAAATACGACTCGGAATTGCTGTTTTTTGTGAAAGCTTGAGCGCGCATATTTGCACACATGAACCGCAAACGTACCGCGTCCACGCGCCAGTAGGGAACACAGCTTTAGTACTAGTACTAGTGTGACTATAGTTTTTGGGTGAACTACTGCACCCATTCATGAGTGTTTTATGATATGCATGATTATTTTTCCTTCAGAAGAGGCTTTTTACTAGTGTGGGTACAAGCCAAAAGGACATCATCCGGTGTTGTTATGTTCATTTGCCTGCTTTGCTTCTGCAGCCGATGGTCGAACGCACCGTCTGGTGGAAACCGGGGCAGGCCAGGACGTGGTGGTGGTGGTGGTGGTGGTGGAGGAGGTGGCAATAACTTCAGAAAGTCTCGCTTTGATGAGGTATGTATTGCACGTCTTGCTGCAGTTGTGCTGTTGTTGATCTCTGCTGATGCTGGTGCTGATGCTGTTACTATGTCTGGGTATTTACTCTAGGAGAATACTGCTGAGAATGCTGTGTTCTGTATTGCATTGCATGTTTAGGGCCCTGACCACCGTCGCCCTCAACACCAGCGTGCCAGAACACCAAGGTCTGTACTCCTGGAACTGTCATTACACACACGTGTGTGCTGTGCGCGTTTGATCGATATTGTCTTCTCCCTTGAGAGCGATTGACTTCCAGCACTGCCTCGTTATTTAGTGATATCTACCATATTGCAGGAAGTGGTTTTTGAAGTAATGTGAGGTATACGGTGTGAAGCCGACGGACATCATATTGCGGCACTTTCATTGTGTCTCCTGTTTGCCGTTTCCCTGTTGATCATTGCGGCACTTTCATTGTGTCTCCTGTTTGCCGTTTCCCTGTTGATCATTGCGGCACTTTCATTGTGTCTCCTGTTTGCCGTTTCCCTGTTGATCATTGCGGCACTTTCATTGTGTCTCCTGTTTGCCGTTTCCCTGTTGATCATTGCGGCACTTTCATTGTGTCTCCTGTTTGCCGTTTCCCTGTTGATCATTGCGGCACTTTCATTGTGTCTCCTGTTTGCCGTTTCCCTGTACATCATTGCGGCACCTTCATTGTGTCTCCTGTTTGCCGTTTCCCTGTGCAGTGTTTCATCCAATGAGTCTGCATCGCCGACACGTGCTTCTCCAGCACGGCGAGATCGTGGCGGCGGCTTTTCCAACCGTCGGCGGGATGATTTCCAGCAGCGCGGTAATTTCTCCGCGATGGGCATGGCGGGACGTGGCGGTCACTCCTCTGCTGATATGTCATCCAAGAACCGCAGCGGGCAAGTCTCGTCAACGTTCACGCCTGCATCCAGTATGGAATGGAAGGACCCATGGAGGCGGTCTCGCTCTCCCTCGCCGCGTCGCCAGATGGCGAAGGATGTATTCCGCAGGCGTGGAGGGAATCGGCGGTCCGGGCCAGGATCAACAGTTGCACCACGGTCGCCGTCGTTATCGCCTGTCATGTCGCCAACTGCATCGCCCGGCCCGGCCTCGCCCACAATGTCACCTACTCAATCCCCCGTGCGTCCAACTACGCCGCCACTACCTGAATCCAAGCGTAGCATGTTTGAGAAGTACTCCACCTTTGCGGAGCATCCTCTGCAGCCTATTGCTGACAATCGCTCATCGCGTGCGCGCCAGGATGGCTTCAATCGCTCCTGGTCAGGCAATAGCCGGCGCCATTCGCCACCCAATCGTCGCCGACAATCTCCAAGGCGCTCTCCTCCAAGAAGGAAGCGAGAGTCTCGTTTCCAACAAGCGAGCTCACCGCCTCGTTCTCCCCAGCGCTTTGGTCAGCGCTCCGAGTCCAAACGCTTCGTTTCTAATTCTCCTGCAAGGCAACGGACCCCGATACCGCACTCGCCATCCCCGGAGTATTCGCCGTCCAGGAGAAGAAGTGGCAGTCCAGCCAGGAGGTGGGGATCCCCAATGTCGCCGAGAAGACGTGCATCACCACCACCACCAAGGCGCTCCAACAGGGCATCGCCAACACCTGGCAGGTCTGGCCGCTACCGGTCTCCTCCCAAATCATTGTCAAGAAACCGTTCCCACTCGCGCTCGCCAGACCGGAGGCGATCTTACTCGCGCTCGCCAGACCGGCGAAGATCGTACTCTCGCTCACCGCCGCGCTGGAGATCACCCTCCCGGAACAGAGTAAGCACCGTTGTGTAAACCATGAGCACGTAAATGTATACTAGTACCTGTTTATGCAACTCTGCACACTCTGTTAGGATGTTGAATTTTTCAAGTGTATGGGGGGGGGGGCCATGGAAATTGTGATCTTCAACTCAAGTTTTGCGCTGCATCAGTACGACCTGTGACATAAGTTTTTTTTATCATTCCTTACCGTCCAAGCGATGTATTAAAGCAATGAATTCCACTGTCCCAGGCCCATGCTTAGTAGTTGCTCTCTCTGGTTTATGTGTGCTACTACAATCTTCTCTTGTAGCAGCTATTATTATTCATCTAAGTGTTTGCCGCTTGATTGTTGTCCCCAGGTCCGTTCAACTGGATGGAGAGAAGGAAACAAACGGAACCACTCTCCTCCGTCATCTCCTGTAAGCTTAGTGTAACGTGTTAGAGGTTTATTTGTGTTTGCTTCCAGAATCGATTTTCTTGTCCCGATTGTCAGTGGAGAATACTTTTTGTGTGCAGCTAAATCTGTGCAATTTTTATTTTTCCGCATATTTCCGTGGGGACAGTCTACGTGATCCTTGGCATATTCGACACACGGTTGTTACTATGACCTGACCTGGAACACCAGTGCTGCTATATGCGAGCTTGTACACATCAGCCCTGCCCTGAGGACACCTGGATTGGGCAGCCTGGGAGTGAAACCCGCATAGATCCGTATTCCACTCGTCCGTGTCGTCTCAGTAGATGCTAGGACTCCCTGTTGGTAGCTATTACTGTTTCATAGTATGTTGGTTGTTGTTACTGTCTGCGCCCTCTACAGGACAATCGCAGGAAGAGATCGTACAGGTGAGGAAGAAGTTTTAGATAGTGTTCTGTCGTGTTCTCTTGCTTGTTTCTCCTCGGTGGTATTGCAAGCTGCTTTTATTCCACAGTGTTATTGTTATGCTAATACGTGTACGTTATTGGTTGTTTTATCACACGCTCTGCGCCTTAGTGTGCAGCAGTTAGGTTCTTCAGTGACCAATATATACGTTTTTTACGTCTTTTTCCAGGTGTCTTGGATGTAGCATGTTGGGTGACTTCAAGTTTTCGCAACTCTGCAAAATGCTCCGCCAAATCACATTAAAAGATTTATCGAAAAGTCTCAGATGCCAACTCGGAAAAAGTGAGAGGCGATCCAAAGTCATGGAGTGGAGATTTAGCGCTCAAACAGAATTTCACGTCTGGAGCTATTTTTTAGAGAGTGTGAAATTACTGAAATAGAGCCTTCAGGCAGCGACACAGAGCCAAGCTCCAAGTTATTTTCGAAATATTTCAGCACTTGCCAATGATAATAAAAACAAGACTTTGCAGCGTGTATATCGTCAGAATTGCCATGTTCTGGTGCATGTGGTGGCTTGTGGTGCTGTAGTATCAGTCCGTTGCTTATCTATTCTACTGGTGATGTATTCCTCTTGCAAAGAGCATATTTAAAATGTGTTTCCACTTACTGATGAAGCGAATAGCTTTTACACTGTACTAATTTGGGTTTTGAAAAAATCGGACAGCCTATCTAGGTTTAGAACGAGGTCTGTCTCGTTGTCCAGGAAACGACCAATCAGCGACATTCCCGCCAAGGGCCTTATCAGAGTTTAAAGCCCGCTGAATATACTCTAAACTGGTGCGTACAACTCCCTGTATGCATTATAGTACGGTGCAGATAATGAACTCTGCATAAAATATACGGTGTACTACTAAAAGCTACGCATTTCAGAAGTGTGTACGGTTTTTGCCTCCCGTATTCTTTCATCTTTACGAATTTCCTTTGTCAACAGCTAGCGGAAACCTATAAAAACCGAAGATCGAAGTCATTAGCGGTATCGACAAGGGGCTCTCAAATCCCCTAAATAGCTCCACAAGCTATGAATAAGAATGAAGCTCGCAATAAGAGCCCAGCATTTCATTTGCTTCTATTTTACTTTTAGTAGTCCTAAGTGGTGCTGAGTTACCATAACTTACCAGAAGAAAATATTCTTCCATGCCACACCAAGTCTCTCTGCACACAAACCACAAAACTACCCAATATTATGGTACACAAGCATGATGGAAGTGAGATAATGCATGTAACCTCGTTCTAAAATAGTTAGTGCATGGCAGGGAGGGTCTTATGGCTTGTTTGTGCCCTCCAGGGTAGCCCTCGGGCCTACGGCCCTCAGGCTAACCTGTCGGGCACTAACAAGCCATAAGGCCCTCCCTGCCATGCACTAACCTATAATTAAAAGTACACCGCTTACGAATGTTATTGTCATTGTTGATTTTTGATATCTGCTCAGGAATAACAGCCCATTCCGCCGTTCTTACTCATCTCCACGGCGGAATCCTGGACCCATCCAGCCGCGTACACCATCGGGGTCTCCGTCTCCACAGCGTCTGTCTCCACAGCGTCATCAGTCCCCTCAACGGCTGAGCGTGTCGAGAGGTAATTCTCGCCGCCCGAGCAAATCGTCGTCACGCGGCATATCGCCGAATGTGTCTACATTCCGTCCGTCCATTCCCGACGAAGACCTACTGGGATCAGATTCAGAGTGAGTTCCTGGTGCTCTCAACATGCGTTCATGTCCTGTGCAGTGTTGAGCTTAATAACATGTAACAGCATGCATACCTGTGCTGGGAGTCTTCTCTCCATTCGGAATTGCATGTACATACTGGTACTAGGACGAAACCATACTGTCTGCAGATTCTGTACAACCATACTGTCTGCAGATTCTGTACACATGTGTACTCAACCCATCTACAGGGCACACTTTTGAGCCAAAAAAACAAAAACAAAAAAAACAAAAACACTTTTGAGCCTGTTGAGTACTAGTACATATAGTACCTAAGCTTCTCAATTGGATTATGGTGATTTCTGCTGTCAGCACACCTCTTCTACACACAGAGCAGATTTTTCAGCTCCCTCCTGGGGTGTCCTTTGTTGAGTAGTTCCACTGCAGTACTATATTTTTATTTTTAAGAGTACTAGAACTATGTACTGGGATGGAGAGCCAAGGGTTAATTTACAGAAAAGAGAACTACATGTACAGTGGTCCCTCAATAATCCGGCACCATTTGTGCCAGGGAAATTCTGCTGGATTAGGGAGGGTGCTGGATTAACAAATCTGATTTACTGCTGCAATGTGCATGAAGAGGACATTTTGGCTACTGACAATTGTGCTGGTTTATCAAGGGTGCTGGTTTATAAAGTGCTGGATTAGAGAGGGACGACTGTACTCAACTTACAGGCACCCACGGAATGTATGTAGCAAGCTTTAATAATTAGCACCCTTCTTTCCCGGATGAACGAGGGTTGAGTGTACATGTGTTTCCTTCAAATAATTTTTTTTAAAGATTTCACATCACAGACAATGTTTTCATGACACTGGTCCATACATCACATGCACTGCATGTCATGACACTGGTCCATACATCACATGCACTGCATGCACCTACAGACTACAGCTCTGGCGAACTTGAAATTCTTTTCTTCCTATACACAACATTTTTGCAATACTGTAGGAAAATATGTCACCGTCTTGTTCAAGTTACAAGGCTATTCTAGTTTGCAATTTCATTCACAATGTAAATTCACTTTTATTATGATTCGGTTCTGTCATAAGCTGATGGTGTTATCGTTTCCCCGGTGTGCTGCTAAGTTCAAGCTTTGGTTCACGGTCAAGATCACGGTCACGCTCTGTATCGCGATCCAGGTCCCGGTCCCGGTCTGGTTCACGGTCAAGGTCCAGGTCGGCCTCGCGGTCCCAGTCCAGGTCGCGGTCACAATCTGCACGCCGCTCCAGAACACCTATGCGAGGAGATACTTCACCGTCAGCACTTGTGGAACAGTTTGGCGACGCATTGGCTTCTGAAGTGAGTGTTTGTTACCAATCACTGTTGTGAGTGTTTGTTACCAATCACTGTTGTGAGTGTTTGTTACCAATCACTGTTGTGAGTGTTTGTTACCAATCACTGTTGCTACCTGATTGTGCCATGGGTCTGGTTGTGGATGTATAGAAAATAGTAAAAAACTGAACGTCAACAAATTTGCGAAGCAGTTACCTTTCCTAAATTTCGTTAAGGGACTGCCACTTTTCATCAGTTTGAACCTTGCTGCTAGCTAAAACTCAGTACAGTGCTACCATAGTAGTAGCATGCATGCTTTCAGCAGCCGTCTACAATATTAGATTTCTTAGCATGCGAGGTTCTGTTTGTGTGATAGATTTTTTTACGATGCCCGCTGCTGTATTGTCCCGTCCCCGATGCTCCTGCTCCTTCTGCAGGTGCAAGGCTCTGCAAGCAACCCACAACGCAAGCAGGAACTTCTGGCCGAGTTGAGAGCTGTTGAAGCCGCAATAGCGAGAAAGCGAGCTAAGCTAGGTTGATGTCCTCTAGTGTGCGCTAATGCACTGTGTCATATGTGTATATTGCTTTCGCATTGCTTTTGCCATTTTGGTATTTTTCGTTGATTGTTGATTTTGCTTGCTTTGTAATTGTGTAGATGTGTGAATCACTGCGGCACCCGTTGCTCATTCAATGAGTCCCTTCCCTGTGTATGTGTGTGTGTGTATATACATTGTGAATTGCTCTGTTTCTTTGCATTCTTTCTGCGTTGGGCCAGGCCGAGCGTAATGGTATGATCGTGCATGGTGCGTGTGTGTGTTTGCGCGTGTGTGTGTATGCCCTTTTGTGCTGATCGCATTGTTGACTAACTGTGCACTTGTATTTTGCACGTCCCCTCGCACCATCTAGATACGCACTGGATAACTCTGTCGTTTTAGAATGCTAGCCTGCCGCATCTAACCTATACGCGCAATGTTATTGTAGTTATCCATCTGCTCCCGCTGGATCTCTGCATTTCATTTCGCCAAATTTTCCAGCTTCTTTTAATGCGCGCTTACGCTGTGGAGAGGTAGAACTGGCTTTTACCCTTGCCTGTCCCAGAGCCGCTGCCCCTCTTCACTCGCTTGTAATGTATGATGGTAATGTGGTGTACATACCAGGCTGTTACTACGAACACTCTTCCCATCACTTTTTTGTCCAGACACTTTGCATATTCTACGCGCCCGCCATCGTCTCATGACCTTTTTTTGTTATCCCGCTCGTTCCCTAACACTACTTCTGCTAATAAAACGTACTTGCTGTGCAATGTCTTTATTTTGGAATAAATTCTTGTATCTGTATTTTTGGATTTTCTACAGGCCGTAGTAGCCTAGAACAAATCTCTGTGGGGGCATTCGTTTTTTGATCTACTGCTTTGGGTAGATGCGTTCCTTGTTTCGAAACGGTACTCTCAACTTACTTTCCCCTTTACCAAACTGGCTCTATCAGTTGTGAGGCTGGGGGTTGGTAGAGGTGTGTGATTTCAGTGTAGGAAATGGAGCTGTCTTCAACGAAAATTAAATTATATCCTATGTCACACGTGGTATGTGTGCTGTAGGCTGCATGACTGATGAGACACGGTGGTTGGCTTTCTAGTTTCTGTCCCCATGCCCCACGGAAAATCGAGGATGAAGAGCTGAAAAATCATGGCACAATTTGCAGCAAAATTGAGGGGAATTGGCGACAGATTACATTTATTTTGGTAAACAAAGTGGATGGCCAGTCTAGACTACCGGTTTGCCTTCCAGAAAACTGCCAATTTTTCATAAAGAAGAGAGTGGGGAGTGTGAAAAAGGAAATAAATCACGGATTTATAATAAGAAATCGTCAAAATCGCGGAAGAGCTCGCATCCTGACATCCGTGGAATTGCGATCCCCCCCCCCAAGGTCGGGACAGGGCTTGCATGGCACGGTTCTAGCCAAAAAGCCCCCCCCCCCTGTAAAATGTGGCGCCTCGTACTCATTTGCCGATTTTCATGTTTTCAGGCAATTCGGCGAAAATGCAGTCGATAGTCACAATGTAGTAGTGCATGGAGTCTGCGCTCCTTTCCCTCCCTCGCTCTCTTGTACATGCATGATAGGCCGGCTGTACCGGTACTGGTACTTGAATACACCAATGGCCATCCAGCTAGTGACAATATGTGTCATGCTCCGGACTGGATAGGCTTTGGCACAGCAAGTCCACCCATACACACGCAGCACAACCGATGGCAAGTGAAACTGCAAATTGTTTTGTTGAAATTCTATATTACCGTTTCTGTTCTCAAGCACCCAGCGCGCGGTGGCCTTCCAGAACAAGCAAGGGGGTGTTAGTTATAGATGGGTTGCACAAGCGGCACAACCATTATAGCGTGGTAATGGTGATCAGAGAGTGCGGGAAGGCTGAAATCAAGTAGCTCATGACATACATCACTCACAAACACACACACACACACACACACACACACACACACACACACACACACACACACACACACACACACACACAATATTATCTTTGGCGTCCAGCACTACAGTGTACAGTGCGCATAGCAGTTCCAATCTCTGCAGTGTCAAGATGGACTGCATGTTGGCGGAATGGGCTACAGGGCACCCATCTCTGCAGTGTCAAGATGGACTGCATGTGGGCAGAATGGGCTACAGGGCACCCTCTCACTTACTCACCTGTCTTCTTTTTTTGTCCTATAAATAGCTGGTAGTTGAGAGCAGCATGTCAAGGCTACATGCAGTCCAGTGACCGCCAGGATCACAAATATTCCTAGTAACTATACTGAACACACATACTAGTACATACTAGTAGTCCTGGCAGCAGCTGGGAGCAGTAGCAGCGGGCTGGTTGGTCCGCAACAGCACTTGAATTTTATGGGGAAAAAGTCCTCAAAAGGTAGCAGTTGGAATCTGTTGATAGTCCGGGAAAATGGCACATCTGGCCGGCTAGGTTTCAGGAGACTCGCCTTGACCATTAGAACGCTGCACCTCCCCTGCTGCTGCTACTGTCAGCACACAAGGTGCACTGAGCAAGTTGGCCACAGCACAGCAGCAGCAGGGGAGAGATCAAGAGCAGGGAAACCAGTCACCAGCAGCAAAGCCAGAAGAAGTCAATGACGTGCTACGCAAGTGAATGATTGCAGTCAGCAGCACACCACTGTTGCTGCTGCTGCTGCTGCTAATGATGACACGCCGCTCAGATGAAACAGACTGAGCCAAGACGCAAGTGCAGGCTGTCCACCGATGACCCACCACTGGCTCCAGTTGCGGAGAGATCTAGAACCGGCAACTGTCCCGAACCCGCACTGCTTGTCAATGTTGTCGAGTAGTAGTCATCTGAATTCTGCACAGCCATAACAAGAAGCAAAAGAATGACATGCAGATGTGAGAGAAGTGGGTCTGGTGTAGGGATATAGCTACTAAATCATTATCCTGTAGCACCAGCTGATGCTCTACACTGTTATCACACCATTGCTACACTATTGCTACACCGTTGCCCATAACATTGTGCTGCATAGTTGCTCTTTTACTCGTATCGGGCGTTATGGCCGTAACAAAATTTGCGTGAGCGAAGAAACTTCATTAGGTTCACTTGGAGGCTCGTTATAATTCCATATATCTTCCACACAAATTACAGATTCCCACACAGGCAGTTTATATAACTTTGCCCTGTACCCGATTGGTTCAGTTAAACAAGTAAAATGTACAACACACAGCATTCGGTGGTCTGGGTGGCCATGCTGATAAGTGCGACCAGCAGCAGTAGCAGCAGCACCAACAGCAGTAGCAGCAGCACCAGCACCAGCAGCACCAACACCAGCAGTAGCAGTAGCAGCAGCAGTAGCAGCAGCAGTAGCAGCAGCAGTAGCACCAGCAGCAGTAGCAGTAGCAGCAGCAGTAGCAGCAGCACCAGCAGCAGTAGCAGTAGCAGCAGCAGTAGCAGCAGCAGTAGCACCAGCAGCAGTAGCAGTAGCAGCAGCACCAGCAGCACCAACAGCAGCACCAACACTTGGCAACAGCAACATGCTACATAAGAGAACACACCTAACGTTACTAGCCTTTGGACAGCCCAGCGATACCAACCTTTCATGTGACTTGCTCGGCATAATGGTAGGTGAGCGCGACCATGGTCCACGAGTAACGATACGTGTACAAGTGCATTCATCATAACTTATAGCATTCTGTGCTAACGGATCTTACCATGCATTCATTTGCTCCAAGAGACACCGTGCTGCTCTGGTGTGCACCGGACATTAGGTGAACATTCCAGCGCCAGTTGAACGTTGACATGACAGAGCTGGCCGGACATCGGATCTCAACATTCTGTGTAACAGCTACACTGTGCACTTGCAGGGCATTCAGCTGTGATTGGCGTGAGTGATACTCAATCTGAGCAAGAACAGGATAGATATAACCCTCTTGTTAATAGTGCAACGTAATAGTACATTTGAAAACAACTCAGTTCTCTACATATGCCATGTTCACATATCCTTTACTTCGTCATTCAGGAAACCCCCCTCGACAGGCGAGCAGCCTTTGGGGAATCCTTATTAAATAAACAATACAAAGGTTACGTAGATCTAGTGTACATACCTCATGACCAAATGGTGTTTGAGAAAGTAGAGATGGTTGGCTGGTACTGAGGTTACCACCGCTCAGCGATGGCCGATACAGTATTGTCTTGGAACACAAAGGGAAGCAGGACAAACCATGAACATCAAACTACCACACCAGCCACAACTTACTTGTTTATAATGAAAAATAACGGTGAAATAAATAAATAAAATAAATAAAATAATGTACATGCACTCAAAGGGCAGACAGAAGAACTGTTTCGTCCTCTGTGGACTCCTCAGCGCAGCGCAGAGAAAACGAGGCAGAGTTTGATAAAAAAAATCAAAAAGGCAGATTTAAACCAGGCCCAACGTGTTTGACGACCATGTACATGTACATGTACATGTACATGGTCGTCAAACACGTTGATCAATTCCTAGCACTAACAACAAAGCCATCTCATCCCTTGCAATGGGCGGACGTATATGAAGTGACAAGGAGGCCTACTATAAATGTCACCGGACACATGGCTTACCTGTTGCCTCGGCTCAATACAAGACTGGCCGCCCGACGTGAAGTTACAGAATACTTCAAATGCGTCGGTGCCCATTCCTCCGTTAGGGTCGATGAAGTAGCGGCCTGCGTCAAGTCATACACGCATAACGGACACAAACACACATAGGATGGGTAAAAGAACGATGTGCTACCAATGGGGAGCAAACCGCAACGCAGCAGGTTGATGGATCGCACAGCAATAACAGAAAGGTTTGGCACTGGGGATACAAATGCGCCGAAGCTGGGGCGAACTCATGACTAGTTATATCGATTCACAAGTCAGATGCTACCCATGATGTGGTTGATGGCAATGCATTAATGGCGTCATACATGTTCACACAATGCACAGGTACATTCCAACACAACCTCCAAGAGCAATACACAGCTTCCATACAGTAAGTTACTGTCGGGCACTGAAGAACGGAGCACCAAAGAATGACCAGGCGAGAGTTTCACCAAGCACAGCATACCAATGTACACACGGTGACTCAACTGTGCATAGACTGCACTACATGAAAATAAGAACGGTCTAGGCTAGGAGCCCCCCCCCCCCCCAGTTCTTCTGCGACAGTACTGTACACATACCATTGTTCATAGTGGAAGCGCCACTGTGGCTATCCAGCAGTTCACGGCATGTCACAGCCGGTCTCAGCTGAGTGCCGGTGCCCGGGGTCCGCAGTGCACTAGCTTGCTCTTGAACACCCACCGCAGTCTCACCAAGCACAGTGAACTGTAGGGCAGAATACACATCCAAAAACACAGTAAAGATTAGCAAGGTCAGAGGAGTACAATATTGTATCACAGCCTCTCTCTCTCTCTCTCTCTCGCTCTCTCTCTCTCTCTCTCTCTCTCTCTCTCTCTCTCTCTCCCTCCCTCCCTCCCTCCCTCTCTCTCTCTCTCTCTCTCTCTCTCTCTCTCTCTCTCTCTCTCTCTCTCTCTCTCTCTCTCTCTCTCTCTCTCCCACTGACACAGCAGGGTGCACATAATGTGTACGGGCCCCGTCACGTGATGGGAAGTCACAGACCCCACAATGGTGTGGCCAGGATTACACACCTGTTGATGCTGTTCACTGCGATAAGGGATGTCACCTTGACTGGTCGATGGTAGCTGTCTGCACTTGATTCTAAACACCTACAGTGAGTAGAAGCACAATGAGTAGAAGAACAATGAGTAGAAGAACAATGAGTAGAAGCACAATGAGTAGAAGAACACGGATGTGGAGCCCGGACGTATGTTTCTTCACTTATGCCATGCACATCAGTACTTGAAGGCATTCAGACATTCACTCTGCATGTCAAAATGGCTAGAGAAAGCTACACTGGGGAAGAGTCAAGCCATCCATCATTGCCCATTTCACAAGCAATAATACATTGTGATGTAAAGTGGGGATTGTATGAGGAGCGGAGAGCTGAGAGCTGATCAATCACGTATGGGGCAGTTCTCTTTTACCAAAGTTGATTTTCAACTTTTTACTGAGTAAAACTGCGTTTTGAAAAAATGCTATCTCGAGCAAAGGAAACCCCAATTTCGGGTTGGTATACACTGTTATATCGAAGCTCGAAGCTCCAATATGCAATTATCAGTAGCCAATAACAAGAAAAAGATCACCACGAGATGCATACAAGTTCTGCAGCACTTTGCAAATGTTTAGGTTCCCAATAGCTTCAATTACTTTCAACTACTTGAAGAACAAAAGGCCAGGAGCATTTAGTTTAAATTAATCAGGGGGGGGGGTAAAGTGTTCTCTAAATGTAACACAAGCCACACAAGGAGAAGAGGTGAGATTGGATGTCATTCGAAGCCTTCTGAGCTGCAAACTGAAGAGCTGATTTTACCGAGATACATGATTGTACGGAGAGGTTATGTGATGACATCATCACTAGAGGTGTTTTATGGAATGGCATCACCAGGGTTGTTCCACCAATCAACACATAGCATAATTATACAATGATGTCATCTGGATAACCTCTATTCCTGCAGTTCATACATGCCACCAGCAATCGTATGATGACGGTTTCCTTTCATGGAAGGAAACCACCAATGAGTAGTTTGTACTTACTACATTTCCCGGTGCACCCTTGCCATGCAAGATGATGCCGATACAATGCAGGTGTTCGCAAGGCCAGCACACAACACAACACAACACAACAGCAGGATACAACTAACATCAGCACAATCCGTGACAATTAGACAGTATAAACGAAGAGATACCATTTGAAAGGCGACCCAATGTAGAGAGAATAAGCTTATCTATAAGATACTACTGGCATGGAAATTGATGGCTCCAACAACATTTAATTATGCTGTTTATTGAGCACTTCATTCGCTGCTTAAATGCAATACAGCAGGACACACTGCACACTTGCTTAACTATGAACCCAGGAACTAGGTAGTACGTCACTTGCTGATGCAGCTCTGCACAAAAGTATCTCGAAGCAATCTAGCTGGACTTATCACATTTGTACACATTCACTCACTTGATCTCCTTGCCGTCCCTACAGCAATCAGAAACACCGGCAAAGAACAACAGGAGAGATAAGGCTGAGTAGAGGCAGGATGTTGATTCACACTGAGCAAGGCGTGGTGTACATGTTGCATATGTAAACCCAGTAGCTCCAGTACCAGAACAGACATCTTGAGCGGCGGCAGCTCAGTGTGACTCAACAGTGGACTCATTATGGCCTGCCGGAAAAGTGAAGCAGGTTGATGAAATGTGGTATGCAGTCCAGTGCTGCAGTTGCATCAGTGGAGCCGGGCACTATATCAGCTGACTCTTTTGAGGCAAGGCATCATCAGCACATTTATACTTGGTACTGAACACAGGGGAACCCCCCCCCCCCGAAAAATACTTCACACAACAGACATGCCCAAGTTAACCAACACAACTGGAAGGAAGACGGATAGTTTAGAACCAAGTACGATGGAGAGGGGGTGCTGAGGGTGCAGCATCTACTCAGGAGTCTGGGCACACTGCATAACGTTAGATCTACCCCTGTGCAGATCCCCCTCCACTTATAGCCACGACAACAGAGTCAAGAGTGTCCCTTACCGCATGGCCTGCTTCACCCTAGTCAGATGAACGCCAATCCAATCAGCAACAGCAGCGGCCAGCAGAAGCAAGTAGGCATCGTCACCAGCAGAAGGAGTATTCCAGACCAGAAGTGGACAGAAGCCATGGCAAATCATAGTACATGCACAATGTATAACAGGTTTTACATTAGCAGCTGCTACTAACTGTGAACTGCTACTAACTGTGAACTGCTACTAACTGTGAACTGCTACTAACTGTGAACTGCTACTAACTGTGAACTGCTACTAACTGTGAACTGCTACTAACTGTGAACTGCTACTAACTGTGAACTGCTACTAACTGTGAACTGCTACTAACTGTGAACTGCTACTAACTGTGAACTGCTACTAACTGTGAACTGCTACTAACTGTGAACTGCTACTAACTGTGAACTGCTACTAACTGTGAACTGCTACTAACTGTGAACTGCTACTAACTGTGAACTGCTACTAACTGTGAACTGCTACTAACTGTGAACTGCTACTAACTGTGAACTGCTACTAACTGTGAACTGCTACTAACTGTGAACTATACCAATTTATCAGACATCATACATGGCAAAGTGATGCATGTCGAGACCCTGCTCGGACTAGTTTCTCCCAGGAAAAGTACTGTTTCTAAGTGTATCGGCAAAACGATACACTTCCACAAGCACGGGCATATGCCCATGATATCTCTGCTGCAGTCATCTGCAATTGCACATTGTTTTATAGTAGCATGCACACAGACGCATGTCAGAGCTATTCTTCCAAAGTCCATGCAAGCATGTTGCAATGCAATGGGAGAGTCTGTAACTTACTGTTCTGCCGCGTGAACCCTGTGCAAGCCACATCAACACAGCAAGAAGTGGATACAATACGGCAAGTCAGAGCATATCACAAAACTGAAGGTGTCCTATCGATCACCCCGTCTCCGCCGCCATTACGAGCAGGCAGGTAGCATCGAACAAACACTGGACGCCTAGTCTCGGAATTTCATTCTACACATTTTGGGGAAATGCTGAAGCCATTCCAGTCTTCTAGGTGTGCAGGCAAAATACACGGATCATGCATGTCAAACCAATGAATAGATCATGTATGTACATCATGCATGTACATAATATTTACTTGGATCATGCATGTACTTATATCAACATTCAAACTAAAGACGGTTAATCATGTGGCGATACCGTGACTTGGACGCAACATCAGAGGTGAGAGGACAAGAGAGAAAGACAGCAGTGTGTGTCTTACCACATCTCCTGGATCACCCTAGCCAAATTGGAAAAAGAAAGCAGAGAGACACAAGAGGCAGAAAGACTAAGCACACAATACACATCAGCTCTGTCTAATGCCAAGTGTCCCAGTAGGATAGATGGGGCTGGCAGCTACAGAATGTGCCTTGGCAAGTGTCATCTTATCATGGCTATAGGACATGTCTCGTTTCGGATATAGGACAAGTGTCATGTCATTCTAGCTATAGAACACAACTAGGCTAGCAAGAAGCCATGTGTCCACACGGATCTGACATAGCAAAAAAATACGCCACACGGTATGTCCAAAGTAACATCGCCACCTGCATCCTCAAGCACTTCCCCTCTATTCTGACTACACACTCCTTGCCCAAGCAACGCAAGAACAAAAAAACAGCTAGATAAATCTGACCATCATCAGTGAACATTGATGATGCGGTCAGTGACTACCCATCACTTAGCATGCGCATGGACAAGGTACAATGAAATAATGCTTTCAGTGAGATTCTGTGAAAGGTACGTCTGGAGGAAGTATAGTAACACACAAAATCACAAGGCCAACACACATACTGTGGCACTTGTTATAACTTACTGGAAAGCCACGCAGGCCCTGAAATCAAAGACAGAAAAGGAAACACAATCAATAGAGAGTCGTGAATCAGTGGACAGATCATAATGTTGCGCAACTCAGCAATATCCACCCATCGCACTGCAATGCAACTACACCAGCAGAGAAATAGTGCTTGGGTGCAATTAGAGAAGGAACTACACTGTACATGTTCTCTGAAGATGCAAAATAATTGAACAAACCCTAAACGTTAGTCTGCAAATTGAGTTTTCCCAGAATAGACTGCACACGGTGTATTGGACTGAATACAGCGCAATGGACTGCATATGGTGCATTGAACTGCATACGATGCACTGGACTGCGCACGGTGTCGTGGACTACGCACGGTGCCGTGGACTGCGCACAGTGCAATGGACTGTGTGCGATGCAGTGGACTGTGTGCGGTGCAATGGACTGCGTGCGGTGCAGTGGACTGCATACGGTGCAGTGGACTGACTGCGTACGATGCAGTGGACTGCATAGGGTGAAATGGACTGTGTACGGTGAAATGGACTGCATACGGTGAAATGGACTGCGTACGGTGAAATGGACTGCATACGGTGAAATGGCCTGTGCACGGTGAAATGGACTGCGTGCAGTGCAGTGGGCTGCACGTGGTGCGGTTGACTGCATGCGGTGCAATGGATCGTATACGTGTACAATGCATTGGACTGCTTACGGTGCATTGGACTGCATACCGTGGATTTTGGTGTATCGGACTCCATAATACAAGTCATGTATAGTCAACCTCTTGAATAATGACCTCGGTATAATAACTCGCGTAGAATGACGCAATCTTCAGAGCAAGTGACTATTTGACAACATACTTTCAACCTCACAAATAACGACAACTCGTAAATACTGACACGCTGGTCATGCACGATCGAGAGTAGTTATACACATGATCACATAGAGTTTTACTTGTAGGGGCTCTTCCAGTTCAACAAACACGTGCAACAATACGTCATGTACATACCTTCTTGCCAGAAGGACCGATAGGCCCCAGTAGGCCTTGGGGACCGACGCCACCCTACGATACGAACACAAAATAGGCATACCGGTACCAGTCACATCAGTAGATAAACAGGCATGCACAGACATGCATACACACACATGCACACACATGCATACACATGCACACACATGCATACACACACACACACACACACACACACACACACACACACACACACACACACACACACACACACATGTACTCACATGCACACATGCACACACACACGTGTGTGTGCGTGTGTGCAGAGAGACGTGCACACAAACACATACGCGCGCGCACACACCGCTGTCATTGCCTTCATTGATACTTCTGAAGACAAATTCGAAAACGAAAATAAATACACACACACCATCCCGCCACCACTGCCATCACATCACGCGTTTTCATCCTGTTGCAAGTCACACCAGCTAAACGGAAGCGAGTCAAAATCACAGGCAACAGTATTGCAACAGACCAAGCATCTGCCTATTTACCTGCTGTGGACAGTGTGGAGTGTTTGTGTTTCAGATGATAAACAGCCTATCTCTGATGGATATCAATACAAGCCATACGATAACTTACTGGATATCCATTAGGTCCGGGTCCGCCAGGGCGACCGGGTTGACCGACTGGACCCTGCAAGGTATAAACAAGCACAGACGTGGAATTAGAGCTACCACTGCTGATCACTACACACACCTGAGACACATACAATGGTTGGCTAGCAACTATGAGACCGCATCACCTCGAAGTACACTAATCACCCATATCCATCAAGGAAGAGAATGCAAACGACACCATCCCTGCACTCTACTCACATCATTTCCTGGTCTGCCAGCTGCACCTGGATCACCAAGTGGTCCTGGGAATCCCTGCATTCACAGAAGCATCCACACAAACAATACACATAAGGAGCATTAAAGACGAGCCAATACCCACTCATCTCTACTACAGTACCTGGAGAATCCCGTAGATCAGTTACGTATATTGTTCTGTCATGCAAGCCTTCAACATGAATATCCATGCTTCATCAAGCAGTGTATTACAGTACTACAGGAATGGATTTGGTGTCATGGCTGTGTTACCTGTTCTCCAGGAAGTCCAGGTGATCCGGGAGCTCCTTTTATTCCAGATTGTCCCTAATACGGGGAGAACAGCGTACACACAACACACAGACCACACAAGCTACAGAATAACACTCCAGATATAGAGGCCCAAACAGACACTGCTGGTTGACATGTAGTTAGAAAGGCATCGGCAGATAATCACGCTCACTTTCCAGCTATTTATCTAGATAGAACCGTGCCCCTACTAGTAGTGTGTGCGTGTGTAAGATATGGGTTATCTGGAGCTTACCTCAACACCATCTGTTCCAGGCGGTCCCATTAGACCACGTGGGCCATCTCTGCCCTAGCACAAAACCACACACGTACAGAACAAGTAAACAACCTTCCGGGATTTTCTACAAGTACTACCTCGGGCCAACCCCCCCCCCCCCCCCGCTCTACAAGTACTACCTCGGACCAACCCCCCCCCCCCCCTCTACAAGTACTACCTCGGAGCAACCCCCCCCCCCCCCCCTCTACAAGTACTACCTCGGACCAACCCCCCCCCCCTCCCCTTGCATCACACCCGGAATACATCCATCAACATTCAACACCTATACAATTTTACTTGTTGACAGGCATCAGATCCATAGTCTCATAGAGAACAGGCCATGTAAGCTTGCTTGTAGCATACTATACAGAGTAGTATCGGCACGGCAGGTCCGGCCAAAGCCGCACCAATAATTTCATCTTGCGACTTTTGAAGCCGCTGAATGAAATATGGGCTATTTGGGCCCAATTTCCTTTAAATTTTCCCAGGGTGGGGAGGGGGGGGGGGACCCCGACCCCCACCTACTCATGCGGCCACACCAATGTCGAATACCTTCGACACCCCTGCTAACATATCTTGCTTACTGTAGGACTGACAAAGATCCAATGCCAAAGTAGATTCAGTGTGCGTAGCGTCCCCTTACATTTAGATACAATGTATAATGTCATATAGCAGAGCACTATGCCCAGTGGCAGAGGTATAACAGAGCACTATGCCCAGTGGCAGAGGTATAACAGAGCACTATGCCCAGTGGCAGAGGTATAACAGAGCACTATGCCCAGTGGCAGAGGTATAACAGAGCACTATGCCCAGTGGCAGAGGTATAACAGAGCACTATGCCCAGTGGCAGAGGTATAACAGAGCACTATGCCCAGGGGCAGAGGCATGTACATGCACAGCAGGACTATGCTAAGGGTGGGCAGTTCTCTGGCACATTTAGGAGAAGATGTATGCATCTTACTCGAACGCCGCTTTCGCCTTTGTCGCCTTTCAGGCCAGGATCGCCTGGCAGTCCCTGTAGTGCACGCAACCATAAGGAAAGTCACACAGAACAGAGCAGAACAGAACAGGCTTGAGGTCTGATCAACAACACATACAGCGTCATGCGTTTCCTAGGAAAGCAAGTTGAAAATACTACCGGTGACAGGGGCGCAGCACCTGCTACGACTGGGACGACCATGGCCGTACCACTTTTCTAAAAATGTGGTTCGTCTGGAACATGCAAAACCGTAATACCCATCAGATCTTTGACTTGTGTTCGAGTTTGACTCAAACTCAACTCGACACGGCTGTTAGGTGCACTTGGATCGCGGCAACTTTCCACAACATGCAGTCACATTATCTGCAAATCAAACACTTGGGAACACCACTGGCAAAATTGAGCAACCACCTAGAAAGCAACACAACACGTCAACAGCGGCGTGAGACAGCAATACACAGTTACATACCGTCGGCTGAGGATATCCTTTCGGACCGCGTGGGCCAACACCACCAGGCTGCCCCTGCATAACAAAGGTCAGTACACGACCAGCACCACACAGGCACAGTGCACAGTGCAGAGGCATGTATGCATGTACACAGACACAGACACACAGACACAGGCACACACACACATACACACACACAGCACAGCACAGCACAGCACAGCACAGCACAGCACAGCACAGCACAGCACAGCACAGCACAGCACAGCACAGCACAGCACAGCACAGCACAGCACAGCACAGCACAGCACAGCACAGCACAGCACAGCACATGCATGTACCCACACCACACATGATGGCAAAGTCAGAATTACAGAAATACACCACAAAGACACATGACAAAGTTCAGCTGGTTTTAAACACGAGCACAACACAACACAACTCGAAGTAACTGGCATCATCACATTAGAATATAGGCAACGTGGAAGACAGACGCGAATTAGTTTGGGCTGTCAGCAAACAACCCTCTTTCCCCCATACCTTGTTTCCTAATCCTCCTCGCATGCCTCGGCCACCTTTAGAACCTTGGTCGCCCTGAAGGACACAAAGAAAAGGAGACATCAAGATTCCAATTGACATAACCAGCATTACCAACATAACAAATCACAACAGTCCAATGATAACCATAAAAAAGCGAGAGGATTTGTTTCTATGGATGAACATAAGTTGGGCAGAACCGTGCACCTGAAAAGAGAGTAACAGTCAGCAACTTTGTGTACACAAGCCATACAAGAAGTGAACAAGGTTAGAAGCAATCGATTTCGCAAACATATCCCACGTATATCCAGGCAGGCACACATAACTCACACCTGATAAAATACAGGTCTCTTTGCTGTGTCCTACGAGCCGTTGGCTTTCTTACAGGATCTCAAAGAGAGGTGCACGGAAGAAATGCTCTTTTTTCTTTTTCAAGCTTGTGGCCCGTTGTGGACTTAACTCTTGTGTGATCATATACATTCTTCAGCAACAGATGAGGAAACCAATGCAGTTCCAAGAGCACATGTACGAGTATCATGAAAATTCTAGGCAAGTATAAGCAATTATCAGGCAAGAACTACAGTGCTTTCATCCTCTTTCGCTGCAAACAGCTCTGTCTGTCCTTGGACATTGAACAGTCCTTGGTCCTTGAACAGCCTGGAAAATGTGCATGGTGTTTCAAGTATTGCATGCAGTGCGACATACCGTTTCGCCGCGTTCACCCTTGTGTCCGAAAGGGCCGATCTCGCCTTGTACGTTCTGCACAGAGCCACAATGGTACAGCAAATAATCAGGGTTCTAGACAGGTCAAGATAGTAGGGGGGGGGGGGCATGGGAAGTAGTTGCCCCGTATTCCCATTTTCCACTCTCCAATACATACACACACGTATACACACCTACACATGTGTTCACACGTACACCCTCGTACACATACAAATACGTGCACACACGTCCTATACATGGACTACTACTTCGCAACGACGAAGCAATCTGCGATGCACCAACTTAAATTTAATTAACTTTAATGGTGTACTAGCTGTGCTAGTACTTGTTAGCAACAATCCGAACTAGCGCACACACTGCACTGCATTGCTTTGTACTGCATTCAAGACTGACGTCATGCGCTTTGTTTTGCTGCGTAATCACAAATGGCACCAGCCCATTTTGCGGAAAAAAACAAACAAATCTTGCTTGCCCTGTTGTGCTCTTCCAGACAACGGATCGTGCTTCAGCAGTGTTTCTTTTCCCACCATCCCTCCCTATCCAACTTATTCACACCATCATTATTATCGTACCCACTAATCGGGTCCACTCTCACAACTGGTGTTATCTAGCTATTTGCTGCGGCTCTGCCTTGCGCTATATTACATCCATTTAGCATTGCAGCTCTACGTTGAGCTAACAGCAGCTCTACTTTGAGCTAACAGCAGCTCTACTTTGAGCTAACAGCAGCTCTACTTTGAGCTAACAGCAGCTCTACTTTGAGCTAACAGCAGCTCTACTTTGAGCTAACCGCAGCTCTACTTTGAGCTAACAGCAGCTCTACTTTGAGCTAACAGCAGCTCTACTTTGAGCTAACCGCAGCTCTACTTTGAGCTAACCGCAGCTCTACTTTGAGCTAACAGCAGCTCTACTTTGAGCTAACAGCAGCTCTACTTTGAGCTAACAGCAGCTCTACTTTGAGCTAACCGCAGCTCTACTTTGAGCTAACCGCAGCTCTACTTTGAGCTAACCGCAGCTCTACTTGGAGCTAACAGCAGCTCTACTTTGAGCTAACAGCAGCTCTGCTCTGAGCTAACAGCAGCTCTGCTCTGAGCTAACACCAGCTCTACTTTGAGCTTCAAACCAGTTGTTTCGAAACCAGCACTCCTCAATCCAAAGATGCCTCTTTGTTGACTTGTTTGTGTGAGGGATGGGGCTAATCAATATAATCGTGTAACGTTACACCAGTGGGCTAACCTCTTCTCCTTTCTGTCCTCGTGGGCCGGGCTTGCCATTGAGCCCAGCTTTGCCCTGAGCAAAACAACATCAGAGTAGAATGGAGAATAGCAATAGTAGAGACCGTTTGCCTGATATTTCCACTGTACATAGCATGTGAAGTATGAGAATAGCAATGCAAATAGAACTGAATAATAATGTGAATATGGCTCTGCAGGGCAGGAAGATCAGTTCAGGTCAGTATGCCGTGCCAGCAGAGATTTCAATCTGTCCAGCAAAGAGAACACTTCAACATTACTCCGTGGACAAGAGCAGAGCAAACAGAAGCGTAGAAAGGAGTTGGTAGGAGAGAAGTACAGCACCTACCTCGGGACCGGGTGGACCTTCCGCACCTTGCATGCCACCAATGCCATGATCTCCCTAACACAGCGGCATCAAAGAGAAAACAAGAAAATTAGGAGTCCAGTAGCACAAACATACCGATTCGGTATTCATTACCTCCCCATAGGCATATCCGAGTAATGATACTTGGTCAACATTGGCCCCAGCAGAAATAACATCGATACACGCATGGAGGGGTGTTCCACAAGTCGAATCTATCCTTGCTGCAGACACGTCGAGCAACAGTATCTATGTACGGTGTCAAGAAGATGACGCAACCATGAGGCTGCGTGATTGATTCTTACTTGCAAACCTCGAAAGCCAATCGGTCCTCCTTCTCCCTTTATACCAGGTCCTCCCTGCAGCAGACAGCAAGAAGATAACAATGGAAGATACAAAATGGAAGATACACAATGGAAGATATATGTACACAGTCTAAGGACGATCATACTGGTTCGTCATTTGTTTTTGTTTTTTTGTGTGTGTTTTTTTAGTGTACCGTAGTCAAGCCTCTTGTGCAGGCAAAATAAACACAACAGCACAACCTCAAGCGGTTCTTCTTTTGTGAACTCGTCAGAGGATACAAATGGAAAGTACAACGTATTTACGCAGCTGTTAAATGTAGAGAATGAAGTAGACCCGATCACATGCATACTTGAGATAGGTACATGTACTGCCATATGGCACTGCTAAAATCCTAGATGAACTCAGTGTAGTTATGCCACCCGGTTCAGTACAAGCCACAAATACACGCTGGAAAGTAATGTACTTACGTCGGGACCTCGCACTCCGGCGTCGCCAGTTTCACCTTTGCGTCCTTTGATACCCTGCACAACAAGAGCCACGAGTACACACGTGCACACGCACACACATACATACTCTGTCTGAACAGCAGTACCTACACAGCAAGGCTCAAACATACCATAGCCATCTTTGTCTAGTGACTGAGCCGTAAGCAAATGACATAATCATAAAAAAAAACACGAAGTACATCACAACCCTAGCAAAAACCAACATGCATTGATAGAGGTTGAGGTAAGTCATAGTTTTACAACTTTGTAGGGCAATAACTACTAATATTATGTATGCTTCGCTAATGGCTAACGATGCACACAGCTCACCCCACAGTACTAGCAGGATAAATAGTATCAAATGGTAAGGATGCAGTAGGCCGCAAACTGGATTGGAAATTCTTTTCAGTACTTTCTAGTAAGCAGTTGGTTAGGTCAGACAGCCTGAGATGCTAAGTTGAGACAATGCAAAGCCGTGTCCAGGGTGATGCTAGTACTTCGTGTAGTGTAGGTTCTTACAGCAAATCCTTTGCCTCCTGGTTCGCCATCTGGTCCCAGATCACCAACTAGTCCCTAACCATCAACAAAAAGGAATGGTCATGAAACAAAGATAGACATGATGAAAGTACAAAGTTAGCAAAACATCACACAACACTTTTGCATCACATCACAGGATAGGAGATGGAGTTCATAATAATGAAAACACATCAGAGTCAGGTCAGAGTCCAGGTCAGAGTCCAGGTCAGAGTTCAGGTCAGAGTTCAGGTCAGCGTTCAGGTCAGCGTTCAGGTCAGAGTCCGGGTCAGAGTCCGGGTCAGAGTCCGGGTCAGAGTCCAGGTCAGAGTTCAGATCAGAGTTCAGGTCAGAGCTGCTGTACAGAAGAGAAGTAGGTTATCAGAGGCTCCCACTTCCTGCGGTCAAAGTCTCACATTCTTCGGCTCCTACCTTGCGTCCATCGGGTCCTTGTTCTCCAGGTCGTCCAAGTTCGCCTTGTTCACCCTGGTATTGATGTAGAACAATGAGACACGAACAGCGGAACCCACACATTGTCACGCACACACACCAGCGCGCACGCACACACAACGCACACATTCACGTACATCCACATTCACAGTCACACCCACACACACCCACAAAACACACAAAACACACAAACACTATACATATACATATACACACATGCTAGTAAGCTACGCTGCACATGCTGTAAAATATGCGAACATGATGACGCTGCACTGGATAGGAGACTATATGAAGTACCACACTATTCCTCTAGACATCATCATCATGCTTGTTATCAGTATGTTGCAATCATCGTGTACCACTGGTACATCAACAACATCAAGTGTACCTCTGGTATACCAACAACATCAAAACAGTATGAGAATACTAGAGGCAAGGAACGCAGCAACACCAGAACACCGCCTTAAGAAAAAGAAATCAGGAAAGGAACTCACATTCCTACACTTACAGGGTCGCCTTTCTCACCACGCCCGCCTTCCACGCCCTGCACACCACGTCGACCCTAAGTAGTGCAACAAGTACATACACACAAATACACCGCACCATTATACACATAGCATCATTATACACATAGCATCATTATACACATAGCATCATTATACACATAGCACCATTAGGCCACCCTTTGTTAATTCATTGTTTAACGTCCTTTTTTTCGCGAAAAGGTACGCGGGAGGGCGGAAAAAAACAAAAGCCCATTCCAAAAACTGGAAACCCCAATCAAGCATTTTGACCAGTAAAGCATGTGATATATACAATATTTCTGGGTCTAACGGCACTTGCAGGCATAGAACAACACTCTTTGATGGTACATTGGAGCACATGCCTGATGAATCCAACAAAACAGGTACATAGCATGGAGTGAGCAGGTCATGAATTCATTACATCTGGATTTTTACTAGGGCACACACCGTACGATATTTAAAAGCCAACAAAAAAAGAAAAAGAACACAAGACAAAGGCATGCCCGGGAGGCAAGATTATAAGTTTAAGGTCATGATCGGCACACTGTGAAACTACACAATCATGTATTTACAACTTCGCATATTATTGGTACTACTACTTTCTTGTTTTTTTCCGGTCGGAGGCAAAAAGGTACGCGGGCGCGGACGTTAAACAACGAAAAAAGAAAGGGTGGCCTTATAGTAACAACTAGGACTTTAGCTGAGCAAGTCTGCAGTCACTGCTGATGAAGCAACAAACTTAAACCATCATGAGCAGATGTGCATTGCTGTTCGATGAGTCTGAGAGGGCTATCAAGTGCATGAGGCAGCGCTTGGGCTTGTAGAACTGCCTGATACCAAGGTAGCAACTCTCTTCTCTATTCTGAAGGACACACTGATACGGTGCTCTCTACCCATGGCGAGCTTTGCCCGACAGGCATTTGATGGTGCTTCCAACATGAGTGGCGTACGAAATGGTGTACACGTGTAAGCTCTGATGGACAAGGAGAATCCAAAGTGTCGCTACGTGCACTGCTTTGCACACAGCCTGAACTTAGCAGCACAGTCGGCGGTGACAGGTTCTTATCAGCCTGTACGGGGAACATGATGGATTTCATCTTCAACCTGATGCCGCTCTCCCAAGTGGCTTCACTCGTTTGACAGCATCGGGGGAAGGTGCTTTAAATAACGTGGGTGCTGGATCCTTCGAAGTCAGTCCACCAGCACTGCAAACTCTGCGTGACACATACTGGACTGTCGGACAGGAAGCTAGCAGCATCCTTTCCAGAGAACCTGCGGATGTTTCTCGCAATGATCCAACAGGGATGTGATGAGTATGCTGCGAAGCGGCAAGGTCTACTGGTGAAAATGGAATCTTTCTGAAATTCTTTTCACTGAAGCTAGGGCATCTGGCGTACTCAGCAGTTGAACGGTTTCAACCAATTTCCAGGGAAAGGACACCACAGTTCAAGAAGCAGTGTGTGGCAGCAGTCTCCTGGTAAAGCATTTCAAGAGCCTTCGCACCCATGCTGCAATCAACAGCTTTTCTGAGCACACACTGCCTGACTTAAGTAGCCTGACAGAGGAGCCGGTAGCACCCGGACCTTGCAAGAGACCCAGGCAATACGATGTTGGCAGCACACCTCATCAGTCTACTACTGCCAAGGATGAGTATCGGCAGGTGTACTTTCAAGCGTTGGACTTGGCAACCAGTGCCGTGGAGAGACGACCCGATCAGTCTGATCTTACCAACACTATGGAGATTGAATCCATTCTTCTCTACTCTGCCAAAGGTCAGCCACCAACTGTCTTACCAGAAAGCCTTCTTCTAGCACACGGATTTGGATACTATTCACCTCAAATTCCAGCTTGCCATGTTGCTGGATGCCATCAACACAGCACTACCAGATACCAAGGAGGTCCCAAACACCCGCACAGTCGCAACATTTCTACATAATCTCACATTTACGTTGAAATGCTGAGCAAAGTTATGAACCTAGTGACCCGCATCTGCCTAGTCACCATCCCTGTGCTCCCTGTGACCAGCTCCCTGTGACCAGCTCCCTGGGACCAGCTCCCTGGGACCAGCTCCCTGTGACCAGCTCCCTGTGCCCAGCTCCCTGTGACCAGCTCCCTGTGCCCAGCTCCCTGTGACCAGCTCCCTGTGACCAGCTCCCTGTGACCAGCTCCCTGTGACCAGCTCCCTGTGACCAGCTCCCTGTGACCAGCTCCCTGTGACCAGCTCCCTGTGACCATCTCCCTGTGACCAGCTCCCTGTGACCAGCTCCCTGTGACCAGCTCCCTGTGACCTTCCCTGTGACCACCTTCCCTGTGACCAGCTCCCTGTGACCTTCTCTGTGACCACCTTCCCTGTGACCAGCTCCCTGTGACCAGCTCCCTGTGACCAGCTCCCTGTGACCAGCTCCCTGTGACCAGCTCCCTGGGACCTTCCCTGTGACCATCCCTGTGACCAGCTCCCTGTGACCAGCTCCCTGTGACCAGCTCCCTGTGACCACCTTCCCTGTGCCCAGCTCCCTGTGACCAGCTCCCTGTGACCAGCTCCCTGTGACCAGCTCCCTGTGACCAGCTCCCTGTGCCCAGCTCCCTGTGACCAGCTCCCTGTGACCAGCTCCCTGTGACCAGCTCCAGTGGCGTGTCCAGGATTTGGCTGAGGGGGGGTTGCGGCCGGGATCAAGGCGGGATGGGGTGGGGGTAGATGACATCATGGTACTGTCCCAGGTCAGCCATTTTGAAAACCGATGTCAAGAAGCTCCTCCTGTAGCCCCCTTCTTCAACAGTTATTCACCCGAACGGCCCCAGAGACTGTTCCGGAGGATCAGCGCACCACACGGGGACAAGTGTCGAACTTGCTTCAAGTTCCCTTTCTTCGTGGGCCTGCGGGACGATCGACCATGATGTTTCGGGGAAGCATTCTCTGGAACGCTCTCCCCTCTGATTTTAGAGTGATACGTGTCCCTGGTCCCTTCCGAAAAGCTCTTTCTGCCATTGATATACTGGCTTACTTTGTGAATATCCTCGTTAAACTTTTATTATCTGCCATAAATTCCAACCTTCTCATCTATCACATTTGTGCATGCATGTCTATAAAATCAACGACGTGTTCCTGACTCCATGAGATTGTCTTTCTATTCTTTGACTCCATGAAATTATTGTCTTTCTAATTCTGACTCCATGAAATTGTCTTCATATAAATTTTTCCTTTTCTTCTTTTGGTCCTTTCTGTCTTATAATTATTATTATTATTATCATTTCTTGTTTTCCCTTGCATATCATCCCTTCATCATTCTGTGAGAACCTGTCCTATGGGCAGGTGAGAAGGCATCTCTGCCTGCTCATTTGGTGAAGTAAAATAAACAACAACAAGCCGTAAATCTCACACACCACGAGCAGTATTTCTGTACACGCAGCAACAATGTACATTGTAAACTTCAAATTTGCCGTTAGGTGAGCGAATCAACTGCAAATATTTATGCGAGTCCAACAATTTCTCACCGCTCTCAAAGAGTCAAAGCATCCTTTACATAGGCAGCGGTACTTGTCACTGTGCGCTGTTCTTCATGTTCTGGCTACTCGCTGACAACAGATTCTTCCGCGTCTGGCGGAGTGTGACTGTCAGTCCGCTCCGAAAGTTCAACTGGAATAACAGCGACTTCATCACTCCCACTGTTTGCTGTTGGAGCGGCAGCAGGAGTTGCGCCGCCACAGGAACGCTTTACAAAAATTCCAGGCTCTGCTGGCTAGAGCTTGGCCTTTTGGGATGTCCCTGAGACATCGAAGAAAAGCCTTCGAGTCAACCAAAACACGATTCGAACGAGGATGATCGCCTGAGCCCTCGGCATTCGAATCGTGTTTTGGTTGACTCGATCGAAGACTTTTCTTCCATGTTTGTACCGTTGAAGACGCGTCGAGCGCGTCCCAGCAGGGATCACACTGTACAATAGTACACAGTCAGGTCACCATGTTTCTGTAGCCGCGCCGTGCATGCTCACTGTACGTAGACTCTACTCTGTAGACTGTACTAGTCTGTAGTGTGTACAATCAACACCAGCTCGACCGTGCAACCGCTTTTGGACAATCGTTTCAGGCCGCGCGCGCCCCGAACGAGTCTAGCTCGATCGACCCGGCGCCCTAGCGCCCTGCCTATTATTTTTCGAAACCTAGGTCGAAATTTTTGAGGGGGGGGGCGCGCGCCCCCCGCGCCCCCCCCTAAACCCGCCACTGAGCTCCCTGTGACCAGCTCCCTGTGACCAGCTCCCTGTGACCAGCTCCCTGTGACCAGCTCCCTGTGACCATCTCCCTGTGACCAGCTCCCTGTGACCAGCTCCCTGTGACCAGCTCCCTGTGACCTTCCCTGTGACCACCTTCCCTGTGACCAGCTCCCTGTGACCTTCTCTGTGACCACCTTCCCTGTGACCAGCTCCCTGTGACCAGCTCCCTGTGACCAGCTCCCTGTGACCAGCTCCCTGTGACCAGCTCCCTGGGACCTTCCCTGTGACCATCCCTGTGACCAGCTCCCTGTGACCAGCTCCCTGTGACCAGCTCCCTGTGACCACCTTCCCTGTGACCACCTTCCCTGTGCCCAGCTCCCTGTGACCAGCTCCCTGTGACCAGCTCCCTGTGACCAGCTCCCTGTGACCAGCTCCCTGTGACCAGCTCCCTGTGACCAGCTTCCCTGTGACCAGCTTCCCTGTGACCAGCTCCCTGTGACCAGCTCCCTGTGACCAGCTCCCTGTGACCAGCTCCCTGTGACCATCCCTGTGACCAGCTCCCTGTGACCAGCTCCCTGAGACCAGCTCCCTGAGACCAGCTCCCTGTGACCAGCTCCCTGTGACCAGCTCCCTGTGACCAGCTCCCTGTGACCAGCTCCCTGTGACCAGCTCCCTGTGACCAGCTCCCTGTGACCAGCTCCCTGTGACCAGCTCCCTGTGACCTTCCCTGTGACCAGCTCCCTGTGACCAGCTCCTTGTGACCAACTCCCTGTGACCTTCCCTGTGACCAGCTCCCTGTGACCCCTGTGACCACCTTCCCTGTGACCAGC